ACTTTCATCACCATGTTATACAGCGCAACAATAAAGTATGGTAAAATTGTTAATGTTGTTCTAAAAATTAAATGTTTCAAATAATGTTTGGACTACTGTGATAAGCAAGATAATTTAATTCTAAAAATACGATTAACTCAGACTGAGCTTAAGGAAGTTTATTGTTGAATAGAAATTCCTCATTATGATAAGTTGTAATTTTTGTTGCTGTCATTACAGGAAATAAGATTATCCTTTAAAACATTGCTTATTTCCAAAAGCAATACCCTAACATAATGTTCGTTTTCACCAAAGCAGAGACCTTGATGTTTAGATATATAAACTTTATATTCTCACTCTACATCTGTCACATTTTTGCTGAGCGAGCCGTTTTTCCATTAGCAGGTTTATTGGAGTAGCAGCATTCCTGCAGTTTGGAGGAAATGACCAGATAATCTGATCAGGAAGTCCAGCTCTGACCTGGGATGAACCCATCAGCCCAGTGCAGGTGAGGGAACAGTGGTGAATAAATTCAATAAATCAGGATAAAATTACAACTTTTAAATTAAAATCTAATCACTGAAATGTTGGATGGAACATTTTAGATGCTTTTTTTATTGTCAAGGTAACTACAACCACATCCACTCATTGACTTAAGACTCTAAACTCAGTACACACAATTCTGCTTTTAATTGCTATACTAAAACTTGTGCGTTTTCAAATGAAGACCAACCTAAATTCAGTTTTTATTGCTGAGAACAAACTAAATATTTGTTCAGTTTTCTTCAATGGAGCCCAGAATAGTAACACAACTGGATACATTTTATTTAACAATCTAAAAACAATTTGAAGTTTTGGATCTATGATTCTGCTCCTTCAAAAAACATATGATTATCTGTTTCAGATATGTCATGCTTAGTTTATTGTTGAGAAGGTTAAAAAAATAAAAAACATTTTTGTGATTTTAGTTTTTTAAAAATTATACTTTTTTAATGCCAGTACTTTTGAGCTGACAATTTTGGCCCAAGCGATAAAAAGTTTGGACAACCCTAGGCGTGACGTCTGGGTTTTCCAATCTGAAAGAGTGAGTTGATCAGATAAAGATAAACCATCAAAACACCAGCAGAAACATAAACAAGCTGGTCAGCAATGACATGAAATGGTTGATGACTGTTGTGCCACAAACAATTTGTCAATAATTTAGCATATCTAGTGAAATGTGTGCAAAAAACTAATCTTTCTTCCCAATAGAAGTCATTTTACAGTTTGGAAACATCTTGAAAGATGTCTGTTTCATTTCAATTTTTTTCTCTCTAGCACTTTGATCTACTGAGGCTATTCTAACTTTATTTATAAATAAAGGTAGATTGGAAAATGACTTTCCCGTTTTCTTTTTACAGAAACACATACCGCAATATTACACGCAAAACTGGAATACAGGGCTTTAATGAATAATTCTCAAAAATGAAAATACACATTTGTAAAATCAAAGCCCTAAACTGACAGCACAGGTCACGTGTTCTCAGGGTTGCTGCTGGAACAATCTAAGCGCGCTAAAACATTAGCACAGGACCCGCACACTGCGGGACAGAAACGCAATAAATCTGCACAGTTTGCGGTATTAAAGAGCAGAAGGAGAAACGATGCGGTGGTGCCGATCAATGGTAAAAGCTCCTCTTGTTTAGTCAGTTGACGTTAGCCAAGTAGCCGCTGCTAGCTTGTGAGGAAACTTGTCTGTTGATCCAGACTTTCCCAACCACCAGCTCATGTTAGCCGCCCGGGAAATAGTTTTCCCAAGGCGTTGGCTGACAGACTCATTGGAGTTGGTCTTCTCACTGCATGCTAAAAATACCCAGACCCTTCTAAAGTGCGGATACCTCCTACGGGCCCGCGCTTCTATCCCTCCCGGACCAGCTACCCGACATAGGCGTGCCCGACGTTAGCCCGCTAAAACCAGAAGTTATTAGCCGGTTTGATCGGTCGTATTATCCTTAATTAATTCAAACGCCTAAATAAATTCATGTTTCTTTGTTTTCACGCAGGTTTATGCCCAGTGCATAAAACAAATGACATAAACTTACCTCACTGTAACGCCGAGGCCGGCTGCACGATGGCACAGTGCAATGTCTCCTACGCTGCGAAGGCACGCAACCGAGGACGCAGCCGCCGCGGTGCATTGCGGTTGTTGTAGTCTGTCTTCTTCGCACCTTTTGGCGCTCCTACGGCTGCTGACACTCAATTTGTTGTATTACCGCCATCTACTGGATCAAACGTTTATCACAGATCTATAACAAGTTTCCCTTATTTTTGTTCTGCTTCTTGTGATTTGACCTTTATTTTATTTGCATCCAAAAAATATTTGCAGTTGTAAATTTGATACCCATTTTATTCACTGCTTCCTTAAACTCTCCTTTGTGATTTATGTGCAATAGATTCAATAAATATATGCTGTACCATTTCAAAATTGCAATAATTTTGAAATGGTACATAGTCCTGTTCTGTGTTAAGCAGCTACTTTAAGTGATTTATTAAGACCTGTATGGCCTGTATGACCTACATACAGGTCATACAGGTCATACAGGTCATACTTTTATGACAGATTTCTAATGATCTCTTATCTTTTTTTAAAGAAGGGAATATATTTTCCTCTACATTTAAGTTGTCTGTAATCCTCTTTTCATTTTTATATTTCCTTCATATTATAATCATATTTTTAACTTCTTCAAAACTTCAATGATTAAAGTCACCACTAAGATGCTTCCAAAAGATAAATCCCACTCAAATCCACCTAAGTATTTTAGTCATTCATTTTGGATAGTTTTATCATTAAATCAACATGTTCTTTGGGTAATCTGAAGTAACATCATATTAACATCAAATGTTGGAAAAACAACTGGTGCACTAGTTGCCTCTGTTTAATCTGTAAAATGCTGCAAATAATCACTCTTGTTCTTAATATGATTATAAAGTTATTGGTAAAGCTGATGAAAACTATTAACTTTACCTGCAGAGTGGAGTATAACTGAAACAATTAAGTACAAATTCATTCAATGAGCAAAAAGCAACAGAGTTTATTAAAACATGTCAAACAGAGAAAATATGTTAAATTAATAGCTTGGAGAATCGTTTTTATCTCTGCAGAAAAGGGCTACACAAATTTTGCTAATATATGCATATACAGAGCTGTAAAAAAGTAGCTTAGAGATTTCATCTGTTTTTGACATTTTGTCACACTTTAATATTCCAAATCCTTGCATTATAATATCAAAGACATCCTGAGTGAATACAAATGAGGAAAAGTAAAACAAACAACAACACTGACATCTAACAGTATGGAATGGCTAACAAATGTATATTTCTAAAGCTTTAAGACTCCAGAGAACTACATTAAGGACCATTAAACCTCAGTTAGCGGGGAAAAAACACCCCTGCTTTATATTGTAAAAACTAAGATTATCTGAATCTTCTGCTTCATGTTGGAGTCATCGCTGCTGTTGTCAGCTTGGATCTGACCGATGGTCACATGTTCATCTGGTTCTTTATGTGACTCTGCTGTCTTCACCGCCTCCCAAAACACACAGCAATGATAATTAGTCACAGATTCAGACACAAAGAGCTTCTTACGCCCCTCCCTGTTCAAACCAGTGGTGGACATTTGGTTGAATCATCAAAACAGTTTGGAGGAACAGAAATAGATTAATTTTGATGAAACACCATCAAAATGAATCTGTTCTTCTTCGTGGTCTGACTGCACACATTGCCCTCTGTCCATAAAACAGAAAACTGTTTTTGAAACAGGTAATTCATCAGTTTATGGACAAATGTTGGGATGAACTACGATTACTATTACTGCCTTAGGACAGTAAATAACACCAGTGTTGAAAATCCAAGCAGAAAGGATAAAAATGTATCTGAAAAGCAGCTGAAAGATGACTTGGTTTGCTTCTTTTGTGGAGCGCCAGCAGGACGTCGTACTCAGTCCTGAAGTCTTCAGTTTGAAAAATGAAACAAACAAAAAACATTAATATTACTGTCAAGATTTTGAGAAAGTGATCATTTCCATCTGTGTTTGTTTGTTTGTTTCTACGACAAAGAAATATAACTACATTTACCACCATACAAATTTATTCTGTTTTTGCTTTTTTCACTGTTAAATGTTTAAAATTTCAATTTATGTATCAGACAAAAATAATCTTAGTGAGTAAAAGAAAAATTGTTTTGAAATGACAATTTACTTTTTTAAAGATATCCAAACCAGTCAGGCTCTATGTATCTACTACAGTTTTCTGGCTGACCACCGATCTGCTGGTTCCGATTTTGTGTCACCAATTTTTTTTGTTTGAAAAGTCACTAAACTAGCAACAAAATTGCTAAGTTGGCAACAGACTGATTTTCAGACTTCATCAGTAAATAAGATCATTCTGTCATTTAAGTATTGCTCGATCACCTATCTCCCAAAATTAAGGAAGTCAAGGACAATTTTTTTGGTGACACCTTATAAAATACAATTGCTCCCTTTGTAATTGTGCTTAATCAACCTTTTGAGCTTCAGTTTCATCAGTAACAGACCGTCTTGATTACAGCTGGATCAATCAAATTAAGAAATCACGCCTGGATCAGTTCTTCTGTTTCTTTTTTGTATTTTTGCTCTGTTTGTTAAAATCTCCTGTCGGTAATGACATATTACTTTTATCCAGTGTACAAAGCAAGATCCATAAGAAGAATTGGAGAATCTTGACTGCCAACATCAGTGTCTGATCTCACAAATGCTGAGAATGATCAAATATTAATCTAAACACATTAGAGAGAAATTAGGAACCATTTTAGTCCCTTGCAAAATGATTTCTAGCTTTGAATAAAGATGTTTAATTACAAACTTTTTTATATCTCTTTTGTAATAAGAGAGACCATCAAAATACAATGTGTTTTAACATTTTTAAAAGAAGCACAACAATGTATTTTAATCCTGAGGAATGAACAAGATGAAGACAAGACATACTATTACTGGCCCAAAATGTTTTCATATTCATTTTATGACGACAGGAAGAAGAGGCTTGTACAGTCTGAGAGCACTGACTACACAACTGAAGATGTTGCAGTAAACCTGCAACCAGAGCACAAGACATGTGAGTTCAAGACAAAGAGTGTAAGACATTTCCTCTGGTATTTTTATTGTGAACTGAAACTCCTCACCTCAGGTTTCAGTTCCTGAACCTGTAAGCTCATTAACAACCAACTTCTTTTCTTTATCTTTCTTCTTAAGGAAAATTCTGTTCCAGTCTCCTGGACAAAGCCTTTTTTGTAAAGTATGGTTTTGTGTTGGTAAAATTAAATGAAAGAAAAGAAGGAAACATCAGGTTGTTGTTTCGGAATAAGCAAATCACTTTTGTTTTTACGACTTTGGTGAAAGAGGAAGATTAACAGTCTTACAATTTAAGTGCATTGTATATATTTTAAAAAGTTTGTTAGCTTTATATGTTTTGTGTTTGCTCTGTTCAGGGGGTTGTGCCCAAAGACTGAACGTTGTAGAACAGTTTCCATGGTGACGATAAAAGACCCCCACATAGCTGTCCGTGCGATGCCTGACCACTTTGTTTATTTAAATTGCGCAGCAAAAACATATTGTTTCCTAACCTATAAAATTCTAAGCAAAATAATCTGAGTATCAAGTATTTACTGCAAAGATCAGATTTTAGTATGTTAATAAATCTTTACTTGATTTATTTTGTTTTATTAGATTTGTCAAAGAATACATAATTTTAACCATATTCATTATAATAATCATTATTACAGTTATTATAGTCTTTGCTGTTGTATCTACTTTTATTTACGTATAAATTATTAATTTATTGCTATTCGTTATTTTTTTTATTTTTTTATATGTTTTAGATTCTAAACATTTTATTTTGTGCAGTATATATATATATATATATATATATATATATATATATATATATATATATATATATATATATATATATATTACTTTCACTCAGTTACGTTTACTTGAATATCGTTTTGGAAAAAATGTACTTTTAGTAGTAGTTTACTACACCATACTTTTTACTTGTGCTTGAGTAGTACAATATTGCTATATAGCTCTTACTTGAGCAAAATTACTGGACTCTTCCCACTGTCAGTAACTTCACTGAATGATGAACAAACACATTTTAACCAAAAATATACCAGATACAGACACAAACCCACAATTTATGTTAAAAGTGAGACTACATGTTTGAATGCAAGCTTTATATTTTCTAGTTTTATATGCTGAGCCTGCTGAGATATGTGTAATGTTTGGTATTTTAAGGACTAAAATAAAAACATAAACACATATAAATTACATAATTATGAAATAACAAATGTAACTGCACAATCTTTCTCATAATTTTGCACCTTGTATCTGTCTGATGACGTTATATTTAAAAAATAAATATTCTGAGTAGTTTTACCAAATATATTTTTTACTCTTGCTTGAGTAATTTCTTGAATGGATATGCCTTACTTTTTCATAAGTAAATATATGTTGAAATATTAGTACTCTTACGTGAATGCAATGTTTGCCTACTTCTTCTTCTCATTATTATTATTATTATTATTATTATTATTATTATTATTATTATTAGTAGTAGTAGTAGCAGTAGTAGTAGTAGTAGTAGTAGTAGTAGTAGCAATATAAATATGATTATTATTATTATGTTACTTTATAAAACAGCAGTTACTATAATTCTAAGTAGACAATAATAACAACAGTATTAATAATAATAATAATAATAATAATAATAATAATAATAATAATAAGAAGAAGAAGAAGAAGAAGAAGAAGAAGAAGAAGAAGAAGAAGAATTACTATTATTATTATTATTATTATTTTTTTAATGTATTTATTTATTTATTTTTTAAATTAAAACTACATTTCCTAGTATGCTTAGTGGAAGGTCCTGAATGACAGCCACACTAGCAGAACTTTGTAGTCCTTTCTAGACGTCGCAACCATGTCGCAACACTAAACTAAACCACGAGCTGAACTACATTACCCATAGTGCGTAGCTTCAGCACATTCAGTACATTCTGCTTATCCGGGGATGTCGCACCGCTGCTATTTTCTCCCTACAGTCCCTCTCACTATCAACCCACAGCTCAAGAGGACTGACACGGGTCTCTGGCTGGAAACAGACCGAGAATAGGACGCCAACCGGAGGCCAAGAAGAAAAAAAAACATGGCCGAACTCGGCGCGGGGAGCCTGCCGTTGGGAGAACCAGCTTTTAGCTACCAGCAGGAACAGGAGCTGAACGAGCGGCTGAAGCGGCTCTACCCGGCTGTGAACGAGGAAGAGACCCCTTTACCCCGATCCTGGAGCCCCAAGGATAAATACAGCTACATCGGGCTGTCACAGAACAACCTGCGGGTCCACTACAAAGGTTAGAGGGCTGCCTCATCCCGGATGGGTCTGACAGTTACAGCGGAGAGAGGTCTCAGCTGTAATCGGTCACTGTGTTGTTGCGGAGGGGGCTCAGAAAGCCACACACACACACTCACTGTATGCGATTATGGTGACTCTATATATGTGTGTGTGCAGTCCTGGTAAATCTAGCCTGAGCTGCCTCTTCTGTCCTTGCTTTGTTACACAAACGAGCACAGGAATTCCCAAACGGGTGACAGCGAACTCGTTAACCCTGACAGTTGGTTTTATGAGCAACCAGATTAAATTAACCCTCAGTACCACGTCATTCTTTGTTTATTTACCGTTCCCACTGCTGGAAACTGGCTGGCCATCTCACTGTGAGGAGTCACTCTTACAGAAGCATAACAAATGCTAGCACAAAGCAGCCTGTTAGTGCAGTGGTGTAGCAGACCTATGGCTAACACAGCCCCTGCCTGTTCTTTCTGGGTGTTATTCCTCTGAAAACAGAGCAGCTACAGGATGGAAACAAGCCAAACTTGTTGTCAGGCTCTAACAATGCGGCTCAGAGCTGCTTGGGTTTTAAATAAACAAAGCCGTTAAATAAACATTAAAGATAATGGCATTGTTGCGTTTTCTCGCGTGATTTCGTTCTGGAAGTGTTTTCCAGAAGTCTTGGCCTGGAATAAAGCTTTGCTGCTCCATGAAAACAGCCTCCAACTGTGGCAGAGAGGAGGCCTCTGCGCAGCACACCAGGCCAAGTGTACCGATCATGTCATAAATCTGGTGTAGCAGTCTGGCATTTTTAACAATAACACAGACTAAACGGTCCAGAAAACCCGTCACAGGTCTCCACAAGCTGTCATCTGTATCCTAAATTAAAACAAGATGACGTCTGTATTCTGTTCCCTTTGAATGAAAAGGGGTGTACTTTTTTTGTCAACATGCTTACAGTACTTTGAAAAAGTTCCCCCATTATAGTTTTTTTTTTTTTTTTTTTTTTTTTTTTTTTTGGTGGGGGTAAAATTTTGCCCTTTAATTTGGGAAAAAAAAAAAAAAAATTTTTTTTAT